AGGACGTATTGCAAAACACTAGAGTCAAAATTTCCCCTTTATTCTTATACTTAAAATTTGTCATACTAAGGGGAAAAACCCCACAAAACTCCTCTTGGAGTGTCACTGACTAGTAATAGCAAGCAGCCTAATTCACAAAGCATCTCTGTAACTATGCTTCTTGGTAGGAAAAAAAAAGATATTCTTTTCCAATCAACGCACTGGAATACTTTGGTGCATCGTGGAGAACATATTTGGTATGGGATTCCTGGCTTTCTTCATACTTCCTGGCCAACTACTGAGCAGAAAAGTGGCAAGGTCAGTTAGCTACAGGGGGTACATTATGTTCACCAGTGTGGTTCATACAGAGGTGGATGAACACATAACTAGACAGTCCTGGCAGGTTCTCAGGAAGGGATGGATGCAAGAAAGTTTGGGAAATCATGGGCTACATGAACCAACTAAAGGAAACACAGCTGCTCAGAAGCCCAGAGCAGGGCATTAAAGGAGCAACCCCCTTTAGAATGCTGACTTGTGTAGAAGGACATATTTTGATTGGAGATTAGCAGGTGGATGGTGGTAAGACAGCAAGTATGAGAATAATATACACGAAATTAGAATCAGAATGACCAGTGGGCCTGTGGAAGGAGGAGAAGACAGTATCTGTAGCAAGGTTCTGGTTGGTTTATTTTTACGCAAGACAAGCAAAAGGCAAAAAAGTGAAGTAACAGGTAAGCCAACTACACACTATAGGAAACAACAGAACAATCAAGGGTAAACAGGAAAATCAGGCTAAAATCTGACTCAGAAAACAAACTGCTTGGGAAGCCAAGAAAACTAACTAGTTATCAAATGATTTGGTTTCTCAAGAGTAACACCTGGACATGGAGATGGAGGGAAAAGACCAGGTTTTCAAAAAGGGGGAAGAGTGGGGGTACAGAAATCATGAAAAGTATTATCAAACAGTCATAAACATTGGCCTCTTTAGGCCAATTAAATGGATTTAAGTGCCCCCCACCCCCACCCCAATCACTGTTAAAGCAAAAGCTAAGGTAAGATGGTGCCTCAGGAAGGCAATGCCAGGTCATTAAGCAACATTTTCAAAGACTAAAAGCCACTGATGATTCGCCCTCAATCTCCAACAAACTCCACACCAACTGATTTTTTTAAAGTTTCTAGAATCTTCCATTTAGGTTCATGGATAGACTAGAAAGATACGATGGGATGAAAGTACAGTGAGCCAAATCCATAGTAGATTGAACAAGGTGTTCATAGTACCCTTCACCTTATCTACTCAACATGATCATCAAGACCTGAAGCCATGAATCATAAACTAGGCTTGCAAGTATAGTCCCCAATTTACGATGGTTCGACCATACAGTGGTGAGGAAGCGATACACATCCAGGAGAAACTGTACTTCAAATTCTGAATTTGGATCTCTCCCCTAGCAGCGAGCCACGGCTCCCAGTCAGCCCCATCAACAGGAGGGCAAACAACCGATATACTTCTAGCCATTCTGTACCAATACAACCATTCTGTTTGTCACTTCAGCACAGTATTCAATTAATTACATAAGCTGGTCAACACTTTATTACAAAACTGGCTCTGTGTTAGATGATTTTGCCCAACTACAAGCTAATGTAAGAGTTCTGAGCACGTTTAAGGCAGGCTAAGCTAAGCTATGAGATCGATAGGCCAGGTGTCTTCAATGTACTTTCCATGACATTTTCAACTTCTGACGGGTTTATCGAGACATAACCGCACCATGAGTCAAGGAAGATCTGGAGCACGGAGTGGGAAAGCGACAGCTCATATAAGTGATTGCATAATATCATTCCCTCCCTACCATCTCCTTTCCTGCCTAGATCAGCATTTCCCAAAATGTGTTCCACAAAATACCAACCCTGGAAATGACACCTGAAAATGGTTTCCCAAGTTCAAAGTATTCAGAGAAGTCTGCATTTCCTTCCTTCGCAATTATTAACACATCAAAAGCTCTGAAAAATTCTGTAATAAGCCTCTGTCTCGATTCAACTTAATGTTTCCCAAACAGTTGCTCTCAAAGCACTTTCACATAGTAATCATTAACTGAGGATGGCTTAAAGTTTAGGCTCTAAGCCAGGTTCACATTTTCTGTGTTAAAGAAATGATTCCACCCCCTTGAGTTGCTACTACCTCATCACTCTTCCTCCAAATACCATAGTAAACACACACACACACACACACACACAACTTGACACTTCCTGCCTCCAGTTTCCTCACCACCCACTCACTTCTCCATCACTGGAAATCTGGCTCCAGCCTCCAGTGCTCTATAGAAAGTCTTCTCATGGTGTGATCAGTGGACAGAGGGCAGAACCAATGGCTTCTCTTTGGCCCCTCAATCCCTCTGCAGGGTCACAGAGGAACAGTCACACTCCCTGACACTCTTCCCTGCCACAACACTGTATTTCACCCATCTCTTTGACTATGTGATCTTTGGTTCCTCTTTATCTTTTTAGCCTTTACATTCGCGGACCAACTCTGACTCCTCCCTTGAGTGAACTGCCCGTGATTTGAACCCTTTGTAAATCCTGAGCCAGTTCCTTGACTTCAGATCCACATTTCCAATGGGCTTCTCAACTTGTTCACTTTACTTTTCCTCAAGGACTCTTCATTCATTATACTCCGAACAAGCTCATCAGTTGCCCCCCCCAAAACTTTCTCCTCTTCCTGATTCTTCTTATGAACTCACCATTCCCAGACGATGAGGCGAACAGCAGAGTCCCCTGCTTTCTCCTCAGCCTGACACGGCAGTCTGAACAGGCCTCTGATAAAGTACCTATCATGGTTTACTCTAACTACTCAACATGCTTCCTAGTCTTGAAGCTCCAATCAATCCTCTGTGCAGCCTCTTAGCTAAGACAGAGAAGAAACCCGACATACTTGGAAAAATGGATGAATCCTTTGAATCATACCCAATTCATGGCTCATTCTTCAAACGCCAGTAATATATGAGGTTCTCTTATACTTCAACAAAAGCTCTGGATTCTTTCTACTTACAAGGCCATTAACCTTCATCAGACTCAAATGAAACCCCAGATCTAAACTACGACTACCTCCTAACTGGGCAATCAAGCTACCACTGCTACCAGAGCAATATTTCTAAAATGCTACTCTAACCACATCACTCCTTGGCTCAGACACCTTCAATGGTTTCCCACTATTTCCAGAATACAGTCCAAACCCCTGGGCATGTTATCACTGCCTTCCATGTCTGGATCTCTGCTACCTTTCCATCCTTATTTTCAACTACCCCCTAACCCCCTAAGCTCCCTATGTTCTAGTCCAGGAGTAGGCACACTCCAGCCAGTGGGCCAAATCTAGCCCACTGCCTGTTTTGTAAAAAGTTTTACTGGGTAACAGCCAATCAACATTTTGGGCCAGATCATTCTTTGTTGCAGGAGGCTGTCCTGTACATTGCTGAATGTTTAATAGGATCATTGGCCTCCACCCACTGGATTCCAGCAGCACTTCCCCAGTGTGACGACCAAAAATGTCTCCACACATTATTAAATGCCTTATGCGGAACAAAACTGCCCCAATTAAGAATCACTATTCTAGAGATTTCCAAGTACAAGCTAAGAGTAAGTACGATGTCACTGCTAATAAAATACAAACTATACAGCAATTGTAGCATAGTGTACAGATTAAGAGATAAGAGTCGCACAGTATTCAGTGCTGGCTGCCTCACTATTGGGAGACTGTGCTCCACTGTGAATTTTAAGAAGACTTTGGATAACTGGAATTCATATAATCCAAGGTGATCAGACTGATGAGAAACTAGTGAAGAATGTCACAGAGGAATATTTAAGTAAATCAAGGTGGTTAGCCTGTACAAGAGAAGATAAAGAGAAAGCCATGATCTTTAAATATCTGTTGTCCTGTCAGAGGAAGGTTTAACTTGCTATTGTTGAGGAAGGCAGAACCGGTGGGCAGCAGCTGCAGGAAGGCAGGTTTTTGGCCCTATACAAGGAAAAGCTTTCTAACAATCAGAGCTGGCCAACAAATGTATGAGGCTGAGTGGTGAAACACAGTGCTCTCGTCATTCTGCAAGTGTTCAAGCAGAGACCAGATGAACTCATGTCAGAGATGCCATAGAGAAATCCTGCCTGAAATGGAAGGTAGGACGAGAAGGTTTCTCTCTGGTTGCTTCCAGCTCTGAGATTCTACGGCTAGCAGTGGAAAAGCCATATGGCACGAATAATAAAATTCTCCAATTCCAAGACCTTAATTACAACATAAGAGAAAAATATTTTGCTAAACGATTTACCCTATGTCTGTCTGGTAACATTTTACATTTAGTCCCTGACACGGCGACTACCAGTGATCTGTTTTTTTCTAATGGACCTGTAATCAGTTCTAAATAATGCCTGTCACTACCTTTAAACCATCTCTTTCATTCTGCTAATGATCACCACACCAGTACAATTTGTACAATGCTTTACGGTTTTCCAACCATCGTGACGTACATTACCTTACTCACAGTAGCTAAGTATGAGCATGAACACTTATTTTAGATAACCTGCTCTCATTTACTGTCTCTTGCCTGAATTTCTTATGAGAGAAAGCGAGGCCTTATTATTCATCAAATATTCACTACGAAAATAAAACATATTCTACAAGATACTCATCTCCAAAACAAATTATTTATCCACACCCAAGAAATAAGCCAAATCTAGTTATTTCAGCATCAAAACATGGACTTACCTCAGTGAAATTTCTATTTTATTTATGATTTGGGGAGGAAAATTTGAAACACTAGAATTCAGCTTTCCCAAATTTCAATGTGGCCATACAAACTAAAAGTTCCAGAAAGCAGTCACAACAAAATGTGAAGCATATGTGTTGTTGACAAGCAAAGCCATTGTAGGTCCTTATTGACGGGACTCCTTTATTCCCCAGCTAAAACTGCCAACACGAGTTGTGTAAGGACTTTGCTCCAAAGCTAAACTGGGCCCTCACCCACTGCTTTACTTACTTCTTTACGTTTCGTTTCTGGACATTCCGACTGCAGAGTGAGAGTTGCACCTTCGATATTTCTTGGCATGGGCGTGGAACCAGGGTTTATTGTTAAATGAATCTGATCTGGTGAGATAATGTGTTGCACATAACCCTGGGACATTGCTTCATGATCTATTAGGTGAAAGCCTTCTTCACCCCCTACTAGAAAAGGCAAGTGTTCGCCACACTGTCCATCATCGTCTTCATCCTCCAAAGTGCCAGGGTCCTGCTCAATAAGAACAGTTGTCCTATCATAAACAGTTCCAGATGAGGAAGGCACCAGTCCGTTTTTATCCACAAACCTGAGCATCTTGTCATCGGGGGTTAGCTCATCTTCCTCTGCCTCAAAGTAGATGATGTTGTCGTCTGGACTGTGTTCCCCCATGGTTCAATCGTGCTCAGCCCAATTGTGAGAAATGGAAAGGTAATGACCTGTCTGCAATAGGACAAAGCCAGAGTTAAGAGTCAAACCCAGGGACCTCCTCAGCAACCACAGGGCTCATTTTTCCTCTCACTTGAAGAATAGGCCAAAGTAAATGAAAATCATTTTCTTTGGGAATATTTTTTGAAGTTTAACTTTGAAACCATCAAGTCATTTTAAAGGAAAAGCAAAGTCTTTAAAAAAAAAAAACAAACTGAAGAAATAAGTAGCAGTTCTTAAGACCTTCCAAACATGCCTTACTACCAAACAATTCCTAAAGGGGATAAAAGGGCAAACTGCTTCAAGGCTGAGTTGTTTTAAGTCTTAAAGTAAGAAAACCCCAGTCACATATCCCCCAGATTAGACCATGGGGGCAGCATAGTCTATTGTGGAAATAGAATTTTGGAAGCAGGGTCACCTACCCACAAATCCCAGCTTTCCCACTTACTACTTGGGTAACTTTTCTGTACCCGATTTTTCTTATGGGTAAGCTGGGACTGGTAGTTCCTTCTCCCAAAGTTGTTACGCAGAGTAAAAAAGATAATGTATGTTAAGGCACAATGTCTGAGAATAACAGGGAAAACAAGTGTGAATTCATTCCCTCCTTCTAAAACAGATGTTTCAGCTTCTGGGTAGGGGGGCTGATCCCCAGTCAGGCATATTCAATGAGGATCATTATATCCATTAATCTTCTAAAACAACGTGGTGTCCGCTAGAACCTATGCTTGTATAGTGTGATCTCTGCAGCGAGGGAACGGTGAATCTTATTTTTGTTTCTACTGCCCCTCGCACAATACAATTACACCAAGAGTTCAGGAGATGTCAGCTAAATGAATGAAAGACCTGCAGATATACTCTCTTGGGAAGACATACTCTCTTGGAAAGGTATGTTCTCTTGGAAAAAATACCAAATTTGAAGCTTTCCTGTTCTGGATTCGTTCTTCTTCCTTTAGCTGCAAACACACAGGTTCTACAAATGTGGGTTTGGCAGGCAGAACAGAATTTAAAAATAATCAGCACATCACTTTTAGTTTTCAGTCTGGCTTTGCACTTTTTCTCTTCTGCTCTGGGTTAGAAAGTGAACCTTTACATAGTGGGGCGGCTAGACAGAGAAGTATTTAGCAGAGACAGGCCAAGGGATCAGATCCGGGAGGAACCTGCCCGACCCCTTGCTCTGGCTTACGCAACCCGGTAGATGCACATTTCGCTGCATCTGAGGAAAGATAAGAGCACCGGAGGCCCCACAGGGCTTCCCCGGCACCATCAGCGGCTAAGCGGAGACCAACTGTCCGGAACAAACAAGACCAGGAGGCTTGAGGGTGGCATACGAGGAGTACAAACGGAGCACCCTTGAGAGAAGGCTGAGAAAAGGAACCTGACTGGGACAGCCCCGACACGGGGCTACACAGAAAAATCTGAAGACAGGCTGGGGGGCTCCAAGCCGGGCGAAGAGGGGCAGGGTCCAGGTCTCCATGGAAACAGGGAAGGGGGGCTGGATACCCATCCCCATGGAAACGGAGGAGGGGTGGGGTCCCTATGGTGACCAGACTGGGGTCTCTAGTGGGAAATGCTTCAGGAGGGAGCCTAAGTCCCGCGCCCCCCGGGAAGCCCCCAGCCCAGGCCGCGTCTAGTTTCGCCTTTTACCTCCGCGGCTCCCGGCAACGGCGGCAGCGGCAGCTTCTCCCCTCCCCAGCGGCACCATGATTGCCCCCACCTTCCCCGAACGTCACTTCCGCTTCCGCTTTCCGGAGGAAGGAGGAGATACCGGCCCCGCCTCTCCCTGGCGCTTCTAGTTGGTTTAGGCGGTGTGGGGGCTGAGCTCAAGCCTCCAATTGGCGAGCAGGAGGGGCGGGGCGGGGCGGGGTGCCGCGGAGACGTCGCGGGGCCGTAAGTTCGTCCCGCGCTGAGAAGCGCCCGCTGCGTCGGCAGTCGGCCGGCTGTCGGGGTGTCCGCCTTTTGGCGCCAGACGCAAGGAAAGGGGGTCGAATCTCCCCAACCACTAGTCGAAAGCAGCCCCAGCCCGGCTTGCGCCGGCCGCCCTCGCCCTCGCAGCCACAACTGCAACGGGAAGGACCCCAGTTAGCCATCCGAATTCCAGCTCGGACCCTCAAGGGGAGCCTGCAAGGCTATGACCTTCCCGGCTTTCGCCCTCTGGTGATGAGGGGAAGCTGGGACCAACCAAAGTTAATGTACCAGTGGGGTCAAGAAAGGAAGATGGGATCCAAATGGCAGAACCAAGCCCAGCCAGAGGACGCCGCCGCCTCCCCCGCCCCCACTAGCTATCACAAGACGCCCCACTGCTTCCCTCTCATTTCTGCCCAGGCTGTCGGTTCCAACTTTTCCCCCTGCGGAGGACTGCCGGCTTCCACGGGACTCCCGCCCGGGCCCGTCAGCGCCACCTATTTGCCATTCCCCCCTTTTATTTTTGACCGGTCACGCTGTCATCCTATCAGCCCGCCTCTGAGTCACATTTCACACTGCCAAGGAACGTTGGTGTCCCAGTGCCCAAGAAGCGACTTTGCACGTGCCTTCCTTATTTTCTTTTTAAGATTTATTTATTTTAGAGCATGAGTGGGAGGGGGACAGGGAGAGGGCGAGAATCTCAAGCGGACTCCGCCATGAGCGAGGAGTGAGGAGCCATGACCCTGAGATCACGACGTGAGCTGAAACCAAGAGTCGGATATTCAACCAACTGTGCCACCCAGGCGCCCCTCTCCGTCTTTTTAAAATGCCTGTTAAATCTGTTAGAACCTCCCAGCGGCCACTGCCTGATTTTCCCATAAGCTACTTTTCTAGAATATTCAGAGTGGGACAACTCCCAGAGACTAGATCTGGGTCAAGGTGTTCAGGCCATGCCTGTACATCTCTTGCATGAAAACTATGAATAGTGATTGTTACCCACCAGACTGCCAGGCAACTACCTCTTTGGCTCCTGACCACCTGCCCCAATGCTTAAGCCACAAAAAGTCCAGCAGCCATCCCTTAAGAGATAAAAACATACAAACAACCACTGTTAAAAATACATTTATCATTAAAATATATTACATATATGAGAGAGGGGATGCATCATACACAGTTCAGAGGATTTGCTGACCCAGAAAATCCCATTTGTTTCACCAAACACCACTTTCTTCGGTACCTTCATTTTCAAGCCACTGTATTGCCCTGAGGCTGAGTGGCCAGCCCCAGAATTGCTGAGCCACATCTGAGTAGGAAAAGGGGTAGGGTTTGTATATACATATACACATGTCCTTAGAGCACTGGAAACATCTGGGGTGGCTGTGACCTGTTTATCCAGCAGATTCCACTTGCATTCTTGCTGTCCAATTCATTCTCCCTTTAGGACCCCAAAGTTTGTTCAAATATCTGGTCATGGGGAGCCCAGTCCAGGCTACAGGGAAGGCACTGACTATGCCCAGGAGGCACTCTGAGTGAGCACAGGAAATACAGTTATTTAAACATCTTTAAAGTTTAAAAAAATAGAGAGATCTGTGTTGAATAACTAAAGTTGAACATTGACTGTCAGTTTTATTGTGGCAGATTTCCCCCATGTCTTCAGAACTCAGAGTGACGGGACTGTGACAGCCATAGTGGGGGGGGGGGGGTGTCAGGGCTCAGGAAACAGGCAGCTGCCGCTGCCATCAGACCAACTGCCAAGACGACTTCTTGTGGTAGTTCTTGATCTTAAACAGGTGGGGCTGGTAATTGGCTGCCTCGAGTAAAATAGGAGAGGAGATAGGCTCAGGGTGAGTTGCAGAGGAATAAGTGAATAAATTCTTGAGCCTTCTTCTTCTCTGCCGTGTCAAGCTTTTGGTGACCAGCTGGGTTTCGAAGCAGTAAGCTGCCAAATATGCTAGCTGCATGAAAAACACAAGAAGACAAATGATTCAGCAAAAGAAACACTACTTATTCTGGTACAGTTGAGTTGGGAGGAGTGCCCCAAAGCATTATTTTCTGCTTGAAAAAAACTATGTGAGGGTAAACTTGGCCCAGAGCTGGAGATTTAGTTCCACTACAGTGATCTTGGGACCTTCCTCAAGCACATTCCTCATAATGAGTCTCTCAGTATGCAGAGATGCTTTCCACAGGCACTCGACTGCTTACCTAGAATATTTGCATCCAAATGATTTTTTGCTGATTTTTTCAGCAGTTCTCGCAGAAACATCATCAAGTAGTTGAAGACATTTTGGTGGAATGTAGGGAGGGTGGAAATGACCTGAAAGAGGGAGAATTGGCATTTGTCTTTTCATTCATTCATTCAATCATTTGTCAGACATCTACTATATCCCAGGAGCTGAGTACATGATCCAAGGACATGAGTAAGACTGTGCACGGGAAACCCTGATCACTTACCACTTGGCACAAGTGTCAAAAGAGAAGCACAGATCAAACGCTATGTGAATTTAGAGCTCGATGGCCTAACTATGTGTTCTCAAAAGGTTTACAGGAATAGAAGACATTTTAAGCCGGGTCTTGAATATAAGACAAGACTGGACTTGCAGAGGTAAGGCAAAAGAAAGTGTAAAAAAGGTAAGAGAAGGAAAACAGTGAGATAAGGAGAGAGAACACACTGAGAAGTCAATTTTAGCAGGAGTGCCCCTGTTTGAACAGGTGCTGAGCCCGGAGGGGTCGATCAGGCTAGAATTCAATGAGTATTCCAGCTATCTGCGTATCATCCTTATCACGTGGGAAGCTTGTACAAGATATATTCCAAAAGAGATTCTGATTCAGTGGATGTGGGGTGAGGCTCTGGAACCTATATTACTAGCAAGTTTTCTAGATTATTCTGCTATGGCCTGTTAATGTGTGAACTATTAGGCCAGATGGTTAAAAGTCTTGAACATTTGTTTAAGAAAATCATTAATTGGCAAATGGAGAGCCAAGTGTGGTTTCTGACCAACAGTGACGAGAGTGATTAGAGTTTTAGAGCATGCGGTCTGATGGCAGTATACAAAACAAATGAGCAGAGGGAAAGCCTGAATGCGGGGCTTAGAACCAAGGTGAGTGGACGAGAATGGAAGATGGGTGACAGATCAAGGGAACTGGGCATGTGGGAGGCGAGCAGAGGACGACTCAGAAATGACTCAGGTTTCTGGGTTGAGTCACTGGAATTCAGGGTGAAGCCATGAAAAGAAGAGGGGACATGAGAGGAAGAACAGGTTTGGGAAGGAAAGCTATGGAGTTGAGTTGCCAGGACACTGCGTTTGAGGGATTGCACCCACTTTGTTCCCTCAGGCCCCATGAGGCCTGGGGCTGCAACATGTGAATGCTCAACGCTTCCCCTCACCTGTTTACTCGCAGTGTAGTTGCCAGAACACTCCAAGCAGTTACGGTAGGTGTTGTAGCAGATGACGGGCTCTGGCAGGCTCTCCAGGAAAAGCAGCAAGGCTTCAGCTACAGAATGATTGCTGGCGGCTTTTGGCCCATCGTTAAGGAACTGGCGATGCCGTGCCGTGGTTAGGAAAAGGCCCAGGAGCGAGCACATGTCAGACATGCCGCCTGCCCGGTACGGCTCTGCTCAGAGTTAGGATGCCAGCCTGACATAGTGAAGGGGCCAAGCTGTTTGTCGGCTTAGCTGGGCCCTCCTGAGTTCCTGCTATATTGGTTGCTTAAAGTTGTAAAGTCTTCTCTATGCAAACTTTAAGTAAGAAAAAATATGATAGCTGAGGACACAAGATCTGATTTTGAGCCTTAAAATAATACTCCTTCTTTTCTCTCATCTCTTAATCATATTCACACATACAGGGCGCCTGGGTGGCTCAGTTGGTTAAGCAACTGCCTTCAGCTCAGGTCATGATCCTGGAGTCCCACATCGGGCTTCCCGCTCAGTGGGGAGTCTGCTTCTCCCTCTGGCCCTCTCCCCTCTCATGCTCTCTCTCACTCTCTCTCTCTCAAATAAATAAATAAAATCTTAAAAAAAAAAAAAAACAAACATATTCACACATACACATGCACGCACACATACACAAATGTCTGAGGATACAGAGGGTTTCAATCATTCCAGTATCCAAACAGTCCCTGATATGCTCAAATTCCGACCTCAGGCCTGGCTGCTGAAACAGATCTTCCTGCAAAAAAAAAAAAAAAGAAAGAAAAGAAAGTCACCACATAATTACATTCTCAGAAAATCAGCCATGATCTCCTGACCTAGAAATATGATCACCACCAAGGTGCAAAAAGGGAGCAGTGACGTGAGGCCTTTGAATCAACCAGTAAACAATCTGATAAAGTTAGGGCTGATGCGGCTAACTCATCTTGCAGGCTTTCCCGAGCATGCTCCCATGACAGGTCTTCAAAGTCATAAAACATCTATTATAAAACTATAGGTAGGGCATAGTACTCACAACAGTAAGGGAAAACTTAAAACTATGTTTCCTGCAGTGTTGTGGAAGGATTAACCAAAAAAAGAAAAACATGAAGAAAATATATCATTTATAAGATAGAAAAAGTTAAAAAGACACCACCTTGCTTTGTGAAAACAAGATTATGGCAATAAAGGTATTTCCATTAGTCCTAACATGTCTTTATTAATTTGTTTTATTAAATGACTTAATGCCACATAACTGAAAATAATATTCTATGTATTGTTCAAGTTACACTTGAAAGGAGCTCTATGGAGAAGGCAGATACTAGCACAGTACTTAAGAACGTGACTTCTGTCCTCGATTCAGCAGCACATACACTAAAACTAGGACAATACAGAGAAGATTAGCATGGCCC